AGGGCCTTTCAACGCCCCCGTGGACATTGGCAGATAAGGGGGGGACTACTGTACGCAGGGCCTTTCAATGGCCCCGTGGACACTGCATTCCTCAGCTCTTCCTTTTAAGCTTTTAGTCTATTATTATTTCCCCCAGCTGTTATCCATTGTGTCAGGCAGCTTCCAAATGACAACACTTGCTTATAATTGCTTTCAACAAACAGTCTCAGGAAACAAGCTGTTGGCCCTGGGCAAACCAAGTCAGCTTTGTAAGTGGGATCTTCCAGGGAGCCATCAGACAGGTTAAATAATGACAATTCTTTGCAATGAGGGTGTTCTGCTCCCTCCAGTACCAGAAATGTGGGCTGTTATTTACAAGACTAACGCTGAACTGGACAGCAGCATTGCACCAGAAAAAGTTAAAACACTACAAAGCTCACTGTTCTTACCAAGATCCAGTCGTTTTTCTTAAATAAACACTCCCGGGAGTGCTGAAAGCCTTTGATTAATTTCCAGAGTTCTGAAAAAAGTTGACTTCAACAATTCTTGCTAGTTTTTTTCCTTGCTTTTACGGAGGGGGAGCAAATTTTCCAAGCTCCTTACTCCTCCATTTTCACCGACAGTAGTAATTTCTTGAGGGACCTTGGCTGCCATGCTCGTGGCTCCTGCGTCTGACGGTTTCCGGGCATAATATGTTCCCAATAAATCCTTGTGCAACGGATGAGAGAGAGCACAGTGTGCAGCTTGGAGAGGTGCCACCCTACCCATGGGTGTGTGCCTGGGCAGGGGTGGAGACCTCCAGCCTTCCCGCACTGCCCCCCTTTGCTGGAGCAGGGGCCCTGCCTGTGGCCGAGGGGGAGCGCGGGGAGCCGCAGGAGGGCAGGTGCGGGCCGCAGGACCCTGACCCCACCCCGCTGGGCGGCCCGGGCAGGGACCCCCTTCTCTCTGGGGATCTGTCCATCACGGTAACCAGAGGGGCAGGATCCGCTGCGCCACCACGCCAGGTCTGGAAATATTGCTGGACGAAAGCGCTCGATGGCCTTGAAGATGCAGTCAGTTTGGCACTGGGGGCGGCCGGCCGTGGGGGGCGCATCGCCGCCGAGCCCCGGAGACCCGCGGTCGGGCGGGAGAAACTGGGGTAGTTGGGCGTTGTCACCGCAACACGGAGACCCGACCGGAGCCCGCCCAACGCCGCCGGTCCCCACGACACCTGGAGGAGCGCGGTGAAGCGCTGCGCCGGCCGCGACGCGGAGATTCCGGCCAGCACCCACGCTGCCCGGCCCCGCCCCAACCCCGTGCTTTTCGACCCCGTCCCGCGCCCCCAGCTCTCGCGAGGTTTGAGCTCCCGTGGCGCCGCAGGGGCCGACGGGAGTGGCGCCCGCGGAAGAGGGCCAAGATGGCGGCGGCGGCGGCTTCG